ATATGTTAATTTCAGGAGCTAATATGTCCATTTTAGGTCCTAATATGTACAATTAAGGTAGTAATATGTGCATTTCAGGTGCTAACACGTACATTTTAGGTGGTAATATGGACATTTTAGGTGTAAATATGTACATTTTAGGTGATAATATGTACCACTAAGGAACCAATATGCAGCCTTTGGGTACAAAAGTGTACCTTTTGAAAAGGTACAGCCCCAGTGACAGCTTTTGTACCTTTTTTCTGAGAGTGTACCTACCGCTGAGCTTTTTATAAGCAAAAAGAGCGAACCAAAATCAGTTTACATTCAAAATTCATTTTACAGTATTACAAAGCAGTTTTACCCAATTCCTGCGCATCAGCAAATCTACCCAGTGTACATTTAGCGCAATAACCTCACAACTGAATCATTAAACCTTTATTTATCTCCTAACCACATGTCTTTATGATGCATCTCATTTATTCTCCATCTGTTACAGTACCTGTGGCCTCCACAGCCTCTTTCTTTTCTCCACTCTCTACCTCTTCCCATTCCGCCTTTTTCTGAGATTTGGGGAAATTCCACTTCCCTCTCTAACCGTACTGCAGTTTGATACCCGCAGTGCTTCATTCTTCCCTTTTCCCACTGACACAGCCACATCCGTGACCTATCATGACCTGTCTGTTGCATCTGTTGTTGGGCAGCGGCCAGCTTCACATATGTAGCCGTATATTCCCGTCTCTTTCTCTCTGCCAATTGTTATCTACCTGTTCCGGCCCCGTTGGCTGACAAGACACATACTGAGTTCACTTTCCCCATGAGCTCAGCTCTTGCTGCCGTCAGCTGTAGCGCTGCTCGCTGCTTATCTTTTCTGATACTTTCTCTGTGTGTCGCGTCGGCTACCGGGGTTCCCTGCTTCTGTTCCATCTGTCCAGAGAATTAATACCACACACGTTCAAAAAAACAAAAACCTTTTCGAGCATCTAACAGGTTAGCAACCAAACTAGTCACAAATGGGCCTTTGTCTCTGGGTTAAATAAGGTAGCAGTGATCCAGAACATTATTTTTGTTGATTCCGAAATAAAATAATGGTTGGCAATCCAATCCGTTTCTGTGTCCGAACAAGTGTGTCCACTCAAAAAAAAATTTAAAGTTGCCATTAAGCATTATGTTTCCATATTCCCTGTGTTTGTTCAAGTAAAATCTCTAAATAAAATGCAACCAATTATGCCCCGTTTTTATATAAACCTACTGATTTGCTGAAGCAATTTTTGCTTGGTCATGTACAGTTATCTGGGTGTGTGTTCATTTTAGATCATTTATTTTATTCCTATTTTTTAAGCAAAGAGGCCTATATCACATCTGCACCCAGAATTGTGATATTAAGTTACAAATATGTTATTGACTTTATAGTTTACAACCTGTGTATGGTCATAATTTGCTAATCTATTAGCACTCATTTAGTATCATTTAGCACAATGTGTCTGACCTCTCCTTTTCTGGACAAAACTGGGCAAGATACAGTATGTGATGTCACATAGTCTTTGCCTCCCTGGCGCTTCTGAGTAAATTGATATTAGGTTGCCAACTTTCCAGTCAGTCCACACCTGCGGTTTTTCACCAAACAATAATCTGGATATCATGTTCATTCCAAAACATATCACGATTACGATGAAGAAAGGATTTATACCATGCTCTCTACAAATACTGGCTTCCAACACAAATATATTTTGCTTGTTTGTTTATTTTGATGCACAATAAATTACATTTCCCCCACAGTTTGCATATTCTCACCCATTCATTAGCCAACTACCTGAAATATCATGTGCAACCACGTCCTACTATCAACTGATCTGGGAAAGCTCTTCAGTACAGTCATATATCACTAAAAATGAATTTTAATATTCAATCCAATATATTTAGCGTTCTCAGAATATTTCAATATTTAAACACTACGCCTATACTAAAAAGCTACAACATCCAGACATATCTTGTAACTTTTAACTTGGGTCTGACAAAACAAAACATTCTTAATAATTCACTCAAAAAATGAAAATTGTCAACATTTAGGCCTACTCACCCTTGTAACTTTTTGTCTGTGGAATATCTCGATATTTTGTCCATGCAATGAAAGCCAATGGTCAGTTTGGGAACCAACATTCTTCAAAATATCTTCTGTTGTGTTCAGCAGACGAAAGAAACGATTTTCATTTTGGAATGAACTATCCGTCTAATATTCCATTTTCTGAAGGCACAACAAAAACTTTAATTCACTGCCTATATCATTTAAATTAGGAGTCTTAAATATGACGTTACCTCTCAAGCCTGTTAGATGAGGCAGAGAAAAAAAAGAGAAAGGCTGAGAGACACAGACATTCAACCTTGCCTCTCTCAAGGACATTACAGGGCACTGAAGCACAACAATACATTGTGCATGTTTAGTATCAGGATTTGAAAAAAATTTTCTTCAAACGTTATGCTTTTTAATCATATTTATTGCCTGCTTCCTCTGCACATTAACGCTCCAATGCTGACATAAACTCTATCCGCTTTTCAGCCAACACATGTCATTACTCATGAAGAGACTTCTCTGTTGTAGACCGTATATAGGATATCAAACACATTTTACTCTGGTGAATATGTCTTAGGGCTGATGCCTTGTAAAGTCTTGGTTCCAAAAAAGCTTTTGAACATTTACGCAGGAAAAAGGTTCAATCAAGACACATTGACCTTTTGTGATATAGCAGGCATGTTGTCACACTATATGTTAAGTTATCACAGTGGAACCTGCCATTAAACGTACCGTCTTGTTTAAATAAAGCCAGAAAAATTAATAGATTGTTTAATGGCAGGTTCCTCTGTGATAACAAAAAACAAAACTATATGAAACATCCAAAGTAAAAGGTTAATGTGTATGTTTGCGTGTGTATACATTAACCTTTCTCTTTGGATTTTTTGATGTCAACTTTTATTATTATTATTTAAAAACTTTTTTAACTAGGTGTTTGAAACCAATGTCCATATTTGCCTAATGTAACTTTTGATTCAAAACCTTAAAGTTACAGCGCTATAGCCTGAGCGACAACTAGCCCCAGATCCATAGGTCTATTGTCTGGATCAAACGATCTGCCATTGATAGTTCAGGTCTCTGTATGTTCCTTCTGGCTGTTGTCAGTATCAATCATAATAAAATAAGTGTGCTAATTATCTGAACGAGGCTGTCATAGTGGCGTCCTCATTGGAGTACAGATGAAAGTCATAAATCTGCAGTCTGGGTCATTTTATTTAACCTGTTTATTTCGCTTTTTTTTTTGAGCCAACGGTTTGCTTTGGCCACTGTGTAGCATAATGCTTTCCCAGCCCAATTTCATTAGAAATACTTCAGGCTGTAATTATCCCATTCAATCTTACTCATTCATTTCATGTCAGATCTCTCCCCTATTCAAATGAAACCTAATATTAAAAGGGGCAAGGTCAATGAATTCTGTCTGATTTATCCTTGCTTGTCTCCACTATGCATAGACACGCTCGCGCCATGCGCACGCCCACAGTCCAAGTAACCCATACACTTCCCTCACCGCGCGACCAATACGTCACAGTGATGTTGACGATTACATAAAATTCGATTATTGCCCAATCATGTCGCATCAGGTTCGCGCTGAACTATTAACACCTTTGGAAGCTAGACTAATGATATATGTTTAAAGCACAGTGGCAGCGCCGGCATACTGTAGCACTCAGCTTTAGGGAGTCTGCACGCGCATCACGTATAATTGCGAATTCTGTAAATCCAATTATCGGTAGATTACATTTCTAGGTTTCGTCTGATAAGCAAATGCTGATATCAGATGCTCCGGGTCTCCAGGGGAATAAGAGAAGTCTCGGACTGATTCCGGTCGGGGTTTTTTTGTACTAATGACTTTTTATGATGTAGCAAGTGAAAGATGCACGTCTTTGGGCTTGGTTGTGAAGTTGCCGATATATTTTGTTTTACAAACATGTTAATGTCCTTATCTCTCTTTCACCCCCACCCCTTTCGCTCCCTTGCAAAAGCGCACTACACACTGATGAGTGCAGTGCACTGGGTTCAGGCGTTTCCTTTTACGATATTCCATTGATCTCTGGCGACGGAAAATTCGTGGAGGTTGGGCGACGCATTAAAGCTTTAAGGCCCACCTTAGATATTATTGAAAAAAATGAAATCTATAAATGATTAAGTCGCTATACCGTCGCGACTACAAATAGAAATTCTTTGGCGGCCATGTTGTATTCGTTAAGCTCAATTGGGCGATACGTGCAACAATATTACAACCTTTCATATTTAATATAGGGGCTTAGAAGGGAACAATGTGTGCTGCAGTAATTGCACATCCCATCCAATGATCCAAATGCGTCCGATCAGAGGTAGCCTGCATGTAACCAGAATGGAGCTTTAGTGAAGATACTCAAAATCCTCTGGTGCAGAAGGGAAAATCTAATAAGAGTTCATAGGGTACGGAACAAGGGGGGACCTGATCGGATGAATGTCATTTTCGTTTAACAAAAAAAAAAAAAAAAAAATGGAATTAATAATTAATCATGGTGGTGATCATAGAATTAGATATTGGGATGGTGCGTATCAGTGTAAGGATGCTGCCTAACTATCCGCAGCAGTCTATATACTCTAGATCACACTCCTGGGCGACATGTATCAAAGGTAGTCTGTGTGCATGCTAATGTGGGGGGCTCATTTCGCGAATTACGCCATATAACCGGATTTGATCGATAAATCGATCCATCGCACATGGAACAGCTAGTGCTCGCGCGAGAGTCGCTATTAACAGCTTAATGTGTAATGGGGTAGACTTGCATAAAGAAAAAAGATAAACATATCGGGAAATGTATGAAATCCCTACCATGCCCATAAATGTTCAGCCGTGAGCGAGCAGCAGTGAGATGTCAGCTGCTGACGCCCGGTTGCGGTGAGGAGACGGACAATATGGGAGGAGATGAACGATAAAGCATCAGAAATAAAGACTCACACTTCGTAGTTCCTGCGTGCGATCCTTCATTTTTCCCCGCCGTGCTGGCCAAAAATATCGCTTGAGATGTCCGCTGCGTTCGTGAATGTATTATTAGTAAATGTCTGGCTCCTGTTTAATTTCCCACAGATTTCGGTGATTTCAAAAAAAGAGCGCCCCGTTCTTCCCCTCTGCACTATTTCACGCCTTTTTCCTTTTCCCTGTTCCCGGTTCTGTGATGGTGTGTCCTCCGTGGCGGTGCAGTGATGCCCCGCAGCGCGCTCTGACTCCAGCACACGAATGCGATTCCGAACGCGGTACTGATGCTGCAAAAAAAAAAAAAAAAAAAAAAAAAAAAAAAAAGGTGGGGGGAGGGGAGCGATGCAGAGGGCTGGAGCGCTTCTGCGCATGCGCCGCCGGCTCACTTTACCTGCTGCCCCTCCCCCATTCCGCTCGCTTGCTGTACTGCGTGTCTCCGCAGCGCGTAACTGACCTACGTTCTCCATTATAAGTAGGGAACTGTAGTTTGTTTTAGGCGGAATACAAAACCAGGAGCCTCTATTTGGCTTGACGAAATAGTCGATGCGGTTCTGTTTTATTGTAATGGATTGAAAAGGGGGTAGGACGCATCGGAAAAGATGCTTTTTGAAGCATTTAAAATCAGATTTTCTTTCATTCCCTATTAGCTAGTCTGAGGTAACAATTTACCTCAAATATCAAATGTCACTGTTATGATGTGTAGCCTACAAAGAGAAATACATGCTAATAGTCAATAACACATTAATCTGTAGTGTAGAGAATATAACAGATAAAGTGATCCAGGTGTTTTGAAGTGTTGTAAAGTGAACCTGAATTTCAGCCTATGCTACATATTTTGTAAAGTGACTACAATGTTCAGTGTGTAAACAAAATGTAAAATGAGACTTCGTTTTATCCTTCAAAAATGAGTGAGCAATACCACAAATTTTATTTTTTTTTAAATTAAAGTATACCAAGGCAAATATTGTTGATATTCGCACCAACCAATACATTTATTAAGATGGCTTTTTGTGAAATCTGAAGATAGCCTATAAAGAGCTGTTTAATGTTTGAGTGCCATTTAAAAAAAAAAAACATTTAATGTTGCCTGAGCTGAAAATGATCAGATCTCTGATAAAATTACATAACATTATTCTGTGTAGGACTGCTTGTGCCTTTCAGCATTTTCACACATGAACGGAAGAAAAAAGGACTAATCCTACATCGCTGTTTGCTAACAAATTTACTTTTTGTTTTCTTTGAAGAGTGTGATATGCTAAACTTTAAAAAATAAAAATATTTTTAAATGTCTTGGGAAAAGTTTCTAATGTGAGGATTAATTATTATAATGAGCATCAGTATTAATAATAAAAATAATTTAAATAATATTTAATTAAAACATTTTTCAAAGCCGTTTGGTAACCATTTCCCAATAATGGCATCTGTGAGAATCGTTTCATAGGAAAAACGAAGTACTACATTTTGATTAAAGATTACAAAGACCATAAGAGCAGGGCGAGGAACATGCATTATAAAAGTAAATATGTTCATTAAACTTAAACTGTTGAGTTGAGCAGGGATACAGCATTTGCACTGCGTTTGTTTATTGGTCTTGGTTTGGATTGCTTGAAACATCTGCCAAAGGCAAGCTTCTGGAACAAATGATCAGGGTGGGAGAGTCCATCTTTCTGCCCCAGTTCACTGTCCTGGGCTAGAAGAGCTAACGGGAATTGGTTTTAAAGTATACGTTCAAGAATTTAACTTATTATTGCTAATCCCAGTGCTATAAGAGTGTCAAGTGGCTCCATATTAGACAAAGACATCCCAATCTAAGGGAAGAGATATACAAAGCAGTTTTGTCCAAGTAAAATAAATTACTTTTTGCATTTTTTTTTTTTGCACGTATGTTCAAATGTTTCAGTAAGAAGAAATGTGTGCATTAGGTTATACACAAAATATTAATGTAATGTCATTGCAGTTTTAATGACATTGAATATGTTTGTGAGTCATCTCTCCACCACCAGCGCTTGCAATTCATGCATTTGGTGGTTCATACAGTATCACATTACTTGCATTTGACCACATGGCATTTAATTTATAAACTCCATCAAACACAAATATTCATGTGTATGAAGTTTGTTAAATTCAGACTGAATCTTTATAAGGCCTTTAACAGTAGTAATTATGACAAACCATGCAGATTTAGGGAGTTTTGGGCCTAAATGATTGAACTGAACACAGCAGAAGGCCTGTAGGAGATACTTCTTATGTAAAGCATATCTTTTCTACAGGGGGCACTGTTTGGTTCAGAAAGACTGTAGTCACAGGAAAAATATTTGTCATTTTAATGGACCCTTTTCACATTTCTGGGTTTTTCAGAAGCAGAAGTCCTCATTGTTATAAATCCTCATATATATTTGTTCCCATTTGCTCAAGTAGCTAAAGAAAAACGCCCCATCAGTGTTTTCACGTCTTCAAAAAAGAGGAAGAAATAGCGATAACGGCAGTCAGACGTTTTTTTACCGTTGTCTTTTTTTTACTGTCGTATTTTTTTTTAACGACCGTCACTCCCATAGTCGTTGTATTAGAAACATGCTCACAGCAGCCAGTCTTAACTTTTTTTTTTTTTTTGTAATTTGGTGCAAAGGTAATCAAACAGAAAGTGTTATGTACTACAGGGCTGTTGAATGCTTGAATATAATTGGTTTACGAACGTCCTAAGGTGTGCAATTATTTTCAGGGAAACACACTGCTAAAGTAGATCCAGCAGGTCTTGACTGCATTACAGTTCAATGTCACTTTGCCAAATGATTTCAGTTATTTCAAAGGTCTTTACAGACCACTAAAACTAAAACCCACAACAATACTGACCGAGCAAAAACATATAGTAAACAATAGGATAAACACAACAAACATAAAATTGTAATTGTTATAAAAGTTCACAAACCTCATTTCACCTACTATAAGGACTGAAAGCAGTCTAAAGTGAAAACTAGAGACAAAATATACTTTTTTTTCAAGAAAGTTTTTTTTATTGCATCAGTCTGAAAGCATTCATGTTTTAAATGTAATACTGCGGTCTGCAGGTTGAATAAAATACACATCAAATGATACAATTAAATCATGTATTGAGAATTGTTTTTAAAATATGAAAAACATAAGTTCTTAAAAATAGCTGTAGAAATCAAGTCAATGGTATTTCATTTATGATAACTATTTTCACTGAATCTTTGCCAAATATTTAAAATAGCTTATGACAATTTTTATACATGCATTATATCAGAAGGCCCTTCATTCAGATTTTACAATATCCTTACATTCTACAGTTGTTGTATTACAGCAAAGATGCATTTCTTGTAAAGCCATTGGATTTTTTAAACACAATGGGCTGCTCTCTGCCAAATGGCTGGTAATAATTTAGAGTACCATCCCCACCTGGCGTAGGAGCGTATTTCTCACAAAATAACCCTGTAAGACTTGGGCCACACATCGCAGTGTAGAAAATCAAAAGAGAGCCGTGCTTGAGTTTTAACGTTTGTTGGACATTTTTGCCTTGCTTTGGGATAACAGATATCCTTCCCAAAAGATCATCATCAAACCGGTTGTCACGGTCCCACACCTCAAATTTTAACTCCCTGTAAGAAGAGGATGTTGCAATTTTTTTAAAGTTTCACATTTTTACAACATGAAAGAAACTGAAACTTTGATTATGAAAACATAGTTTGAGAATATAGCTATTACTCACTTTTTTGTATTCAGATTCACAGTTCCAACATCGAACAGGTAGTCCCACCGAGGAAAGTTGTTGTTATAAATCACGGGGGTTGTAGCCTTTTGAGTTCCGTAGAACACTTTAACATAACCATCAGTTTTAGAGAACAGGTCGCCCCATAATCCCGCAGCACTCTTCACGGTCACTTTCAAGGTGGCCACTCCTGGCTCACTCGGACAGCAGTTACTATCAACTTTTCGATGACCACTGCATTTGCATCCGCAATTCCTGTCACGCCGGCCCACTTTGCAACTGGAGGGGCAAGCGGTGGATATTGCGTTTTTTGTGATGTATTTGCTGATGGCAGCTCTCAGACCGGCTTTTCTAGCTGAGTCATTTTTCACGAGCATATGCAATGAGCTCAAGGTGTAGGACACCACTCCTGGAATTTTCTTCAGTGACTTGAGCCACACGCCATAACCGTTATTGACGCTTGGATTGAAGAGGATGTCTTGCTGCTCACCGTTGCCGCCCAATATTTTAGTGACGCGGTCAGAAAAGTAGCCACTGAAGCTGCTCTTGTTCTCCAGTCTCTTTTGCCTGCCTGCGCAGAAGTTTGCTTGCGCGCTCACATTCACACCCTCAACGACGGCAGACGCTTCTTTCGATAAGCAGATGCTCACGTCGTGTACTGTTAGACCTGACATGGAAATCTGGCAAGTCTTCACAGCAGTGGTTGACTCCACGTGGCCGCCCAGGTCGACTCTCCGCAAGAAGTGTGTTCCATAGATAGAAATAAAATGGTTGTATGCATCTTCTGACTTGCTGTCAAATTTAGCAGGGAGTGAACTGATAGAACTGGCAAATTCTTTGGTCAATGGAGGACTAGCTTGAAGACGAAATCTGATGAAAGGAAAGAAAAAAAGATTTTCATGCTTCATGTTCGTAATCTAATGTAGCATAACACGAATCACACACACTGGTCAATATGAAAGCCTGATTCTGCCATCGAGTTAAAGGAGAACTCCGGCGCAAAATGAACCTTTGGTCTAATCGGTCCCTAGTCGAGCGTTCTCTGAGATTTGATTTCATGATAATCGAATGTAAAGAGTTTTATCTCTAAAAACTGTTTAGCGTATACGCTAGAATATGGGGGCATTCAATAAGTATAAAGAAATCACTAGTTACTATCACAAGGCTCAAGATAGTCCCACACTAACACAGTCACATAATGAGGGTCCCTACATGCAAAACGAAGCATTGAGAACTATGTAAGTGTACAGACCGAACAGCGTTCATATAGTTCAGAAGTTCGCTGAACTTGGCACGTCGTTCGTGGTTCGGCTTGTTGAGACTGTTTTCCAAAGACGGCACCGCCTGTATACACAAAGTGCACTATCTTTATAAAATATCTTCTTATTGAACGATCTGTACACTTACAAAGTTCTCAATGCTTCGTTTTGCATGTATGGAGCCTCATTATGTTACTGTGTTAGTGTGATGCTATTTTTAGCCTTGTTAGTGGGATAAACTAGCGATTTCTTTTACTTAGTATATGCCCCCATTACTAGTGTTATGCGCTAAACAGTT